AGAAGGCACGATTTTTGCTGAAGTTTAACATTGTTCAACAAGTCTTAAAATAAAAACAAGATAAACAGAAGCATTGTGGTTAACTGGAGGCTTTCGAGCGATTTACACGACATGGGCCATGTTTATGATGTACTTAGTATGAAGAAATGAAGTACATTCAAACTAACGACATTACTATACGTCGTGACATATTTTCAATGAATTACTTTTTGTTTAGGTTGTGGAACTAGAAAATATTAATAAAACGAAAAAAAGTATAATGATGAACCATTTAAATAATATGACACTTGAAATGAAAGACAGAACCAGTTTTTACGAAAAATCAGAAATGGTTTCGTGATTTCTCTCTCTGAAACACAATTGCAATCAGAACTATTTTGAATGTTCTGCAAAACTCCAATTTTTTTTAAGAGCATATAAAATAGTCGGATTGCTCATGAGATGAAAATATAAGAAGTGCTGCTAATTATTACCAACAATCGGGTTCAATGTACATCAGGGATGTCCATCGCGGCGGCGGCACCTTATTTCTGGAAGACATTGCGAAAACTGCATGAATTTGCACAAAAATTGCGTGTCCACAGACGTAACACTTTAAGACTCAATGAATCTCATCGATTAGTGACAAGAATTGTATTTCAATACATTCACAGCAATGAAATTCGAAACTTCTTTTCGAGTACCATCGCGGCAGCGGCGCGGGAGAAAAATTTTTTTTTTAAACCATCGCGGCGCGGCAGCGGCAGATTTCGAGCCGCGATGGACATCTCTGATGTACATGTGCCAACCATTGATTATTGCAATCGATCTGTGTACATCAGAAACAACTATTATAGGATTAATTCAAGCAGGAATCATTTTCGCAGACTTTGTGTGATAATTTAGCATAGAAGAAATTAAGTTTTCTTGTATGGAGAAATTAATGTTATAGACAGAGAGCAAGAAGGAGTTAAGGAACAAGAAACGATGGCACTTTTGTCATGAACACAAATCTCAACCGAGAAATAATACAAAAGCAAGTGAAAGTAGATATTGTTGTGTCTTGTTAATTTTCAATAGCTTTCATATTCTCGTATGTTTTACTCTTCGTTGTAGTATTTCAATGTTAATTGAATTTTATTTTTTAGCATGTTTTCAAGAATGAAAGTAAGCTGATTTGAAAGATAAATAGAAAAAAAACATTTTCGATAAATAAAGCGAATTAAGATAAACCTAATATTCTGACAATTCAAATCATGTTGAACCGCCTTGGTCATCAATGGACTTCTGAATAGCAAGAGCTATCAGTTCATCATCTGTCATAGTATTCAGCAGCCGTTGTTGATAGGCATCTCTTAAGGTTATGTGTTCATCAGGGGCATATTGACACAGTTCCATGATTAACTTAGAGAGATTGTTTTCTTCTCTGCCTTGAGTTGGTTGCATTTTGGGTCCATAAGGATGATAATCAATTAATCGTCGTCGTTCAAATGCGTCTACTGATTGATTGTACAAGTAAGAATATGTTGATTGTAAACTGGAATAAAGTGTTTGTGGCTCTAAATATTGATGAATGACATTTTGATAATTTTGAAAATCTTGCATATTACACTGTGCGCCTTGTGAAGACAGTAAGTTGTTCGATGAGACATGTTCATTCATAAATGTGAGAATCACGCCAATGCTGAGTAAACCTTCCGCAAAACCAGCAGCACTGTCAACATTCACTGTTTCACCCCAAATTGGTGGCAAAGGCGGTGTACAGGCTAAAAATATTTTTCGAAATTTTTTCCAGTTTTCATAGTCACCATCTAATCCACGTAATGAATTGAGAATAGTCAATGTTTCGTTCATATCTGTTTCATCATCATCAATTATCAATTGTGAATCTAAACTGATCCATATTTTTTTAAATTGTCGATAATCATGTAGAGCATTAATGATATTCATAATTTTCATTTGACTAAAAAACTCGGCAAGATTCTGATTATATTTGTTCCGATAGAATTGTTGACCCGTACTAGAAAACATTTGTATTTCATGAGTCTCTTTGACATCGACTTGTAATAGAATCTCTACAGCTTTTTGTAACGATTCGGCAGAATACGGTTCGAGTATGTTCAAATGAGGAATAATGTAATGTGGACAGTCTCGTTCATTCAATCGATCGACAGCATATCGGAGCCATCTTTTGGCTAATGTTTCTTCATTATCAGTAGTGAAATCCATCGTTTCACACATCCATAATACTGTGGTTTTAACAAAATAAGACGGTATCACGTTCTGTGCCGATACTTTTTGGCCTTTCAAAAATTTATAATAGATACTTCGTGCAATCCCATTCAAGACACGTTCCTCGATGGAACGTTGTTGAGCGAGAATCAATTCAGCGGCTGAAAATGAATAACGGAACTCGAGCTCCCGATCACATCGTGGCGTTTTTGTTGACCATTTCGGAATGACATGCATCGATGATTTATCTATAATCAAACGATAAATTTTCGGACGATTAATTTTGATTCGTTCTAGAAAAGGTAGAATATCCGTCGGCCAAAACTTCAATTGAAGTGAAGGAACAAGATCAACATCGACAGGAGCACAAGATTTAAAATAATCTGCCATATCCGTAATATTATTGGGATTACCAATATGGGCATATTTATCATAGAAATCAAGAAGAGCTGTAATACGGACCAGAGTCACTTGTGGTAAACTATGGTCATAGGCAGGACCGACTAAAGTGAACAGATCACGAAAAGTTTGATCATTGATATGTTGTTCTTCAAACATTGCTGCATTGTACGGCGTCCGGTATAATGGCAAAGCATATTGAGCTATGGATTGACATACGCCTTTACTGAATAGAACATAATTCGTTCGAATAGTATCAAAATTCAGTTGATCACGCTGGTGTTCAATGTGTAAAAGAGCATCGTGAAACTGTTTGCTGATATCAATTGTTTGATAGTTCAAAGTTTGTGTTGCAGCTGCACCAGATGCATCAGATGATGTTTCACCTGTTCGCTGAACATAAGATAAAGGAGCACCGATTGTTGTTTCACTTGTACAATTTTTTTCTTTGAGTCGAAATCCATTTAGACAACGAACACCATTAGCACCGTCTTGAGCTGTAAATTCCGTACTGCCTGTAGCTTCTATTCCATCATCAAATCTAATTCGAACAAATCCTGGAACACCTGTTCCAATGAGATTCTTCTCAGATTTGATGATGCCACAGTGGATTAAAATGTCAATATCTTGAATATTTTGATTCGCCAAATGACGCGCATAAGTTTGGCCTTCCATAGTACTTCCTGATAGAAGAGAAAGACTGCCGCTGGTATCCGTTGTCACCATTACGATAGATACTTTTTATTCTTGTTTTATTGTGAACTTTTGGATCAACTGTTGACAGACAATACCCAAATGATGAATCTCACAGTCGAAAAGACCTAAAGTGTAGGCACAGATAATGCTAATTCAGATTCATTCTCAACATGAGTAATACTAAGAATGAGCTTCGATAGTAAAATGCTTATGTTGACACTTGCTGTCAGTCAAAAATAGAGTTGCTGCTGAGAAAAGAAAAGAAAAAATGCAGAATACTGATTTTGTTGCTCGTGTCGCGTTGTGAGCAAAACACTGAAGAATTTAATAAAAAGAAGAAGAAAGACAGAAAGAATGAAACGGCGTAAATAGTTTTACCTCAAATATTTACAATCACTACTAATAGTTAACTTTTTTTTTCTTTTCTGTAGATAAAATTCTGTTGGAAATTTCCAAGAACGAAGAAGATCATTGATTTAGTCAGAGTATAAAGCTGATTATATCGTTCATAGTAATACATTGCAAATCAATCGATCATATTGATAAGAGCCACGTGTTCAAATACTAACAATAGCAATCAAAAGTTAATCATTGTTTCTTGATAAAAATAACTGCATACAAATCTCGAATGTATTTCTGACTTGATCATTCGCTGGCATGTTACATTATTTAAATGTGATTTAAAAACAATGTCTTTTCATGTTTCTACCAAGTGACTACGGATGATGAATCGTTTTAGTACATTTAGATTAATATTATAGTATTCATAAAAAGCAGTAAGTCAATATGAAAAACTTTCGCAATTCCTTTATGTACATAAGAAAATGGCAACTGCTAAAAAAATTTACTATGTAATTGATAGATGTTGACCATTGTTCTGCCGATCATTCTTACTATTTTATCAATATCTACTACTTCAACACTCAACAATAATCTGCATATCATTTCAAACTTCTTGTATTACTAAAGATAAGCCTGATACAACAACAATCTTGACTTAAACGAACTGATGACAAATAAATATTACTCAATTCTTCATTAATTATAACAATACAATTAAGAATATGTCATGCTTCTTACTAACATTAGATATTTTTTCTATTTTCTACTTTCATGAAGTTCTGGTGATTGTACTGTTAGCGTTACAACCCGACAATTCAAAGTCAATTTCTTCCTAGTATTAATCCATCTTTTAATTATGATTCTATGCTATCTTATTTTCAGTACTGATAAATTGAACTAGTGAGCTAAACTCTATGCATATCCTTAACACATAAAAAAAAAAAGATTTCTCATTTTTCGGTGATATATTCCTATGTTTTATATAAGAAGGTTTAATTTCTTTCATAAACATAGTACGAGAAAAATTTTCAATATCATTAAAATAGTAAAATGTATTCGATCAAATCTATTGAACAAGATCGAAACACATCATGTTAAATTTTTGCTGTTATATTCATATGTATTCTCAACAGCAGGAAGTGCTACATGTCTATTCACATTAGTTTCATATAGGTACTATAAGATTCTTTTATTTATTGCGTAATGTAAGTTATAGAAAAAGCTTTCAATGTAAACCATACACATTCAAATATGAAGCATGATGAAACTAGAGTATGTGTGCGGATGAGATGCAGACTCACGTCCAGCCTCAAACTACTCTGGTAGATAGTTCCTAATACAAATGCACGGCTTAATTTACGAATCAACAGACACCTAAAACTGAAACCTTTTGTTGCATACAATAGTGGCAAAAGCAATCAGCCTTATTTATGGTTTACTTGTTTGCTATGATCATTCACCATAAAAAAAGTGACCATATTAGCTTATTTGTTGCTATAGATGGTATTTTCTTGTGTTGTCTGTCGTTTTTATCATCATCTTACTAGCATATGCAAGCAAGATGGTGACAAAAAATAGACAAACAAAAAGAGGCTGCCCTTAGCAATAAATAAGGTAAGATAGCCAGGTTTTTTTTAATGCATGTTCGTAGTCAGCCAGCTAACTGAGAATCAGACTAGTTTAGTGCAGAAGCTACGGAGCTGAGTTGATGATTGTTCTTCAACTTACAACCAGCAGATTCTATTATCAAGTGTCGATAGTTGTTTTCTTTTCCATCAATCTCAGTTCTTTACGTAACGACAATTATTATGTATCAATGCTTTCAAGCCATATTATTCTATTGGTAATACCATCTGTCTGAATGAAAATATCATTTCTGTCCATCTAAATTGATATCATTCAAAAGAGCATACTCTTTTGTCTTAGATCAACACAAATACTGAAGGAAAACTCGTTTTTTTGTATAGGTTTTCGTTTGAAATTGGAAAGCAAAATTATGTCGAATGGTCTACACCAGATAATCAATAGGCATCAAAGATACTGAGTACATATTATGTGTAGACTTTATAGCAAAATGATAGGCTTTTAAAGAATTCGAATAGAGAATAAATAGAACTAAATTCAAACAGTCTTCATAAAGTAATAATTAAACAAAAACAAAGCTAAAGAATCTATGCTTGACTTTCATCTGTAATATGCTTGATCAAGGACAAATAAGGAGATGTATAACTGTTAAAAGTGATCCCCTCGAGAAATTTGGTTTCTTTTATACCAAACTGTTATACAAGTTGCAAAAAAGTGATCCGTGGTATAATTAGTCATATAATGCTTATTTGTGCCGTTCACAGGTCCATTGAAATAACGAATGATCATCAACTGTATATTAAACCCAACTTTTGATGTTAATTAGTACTTTTTGCTTATCGATCTCATGAACGACTAGACTAGGTACTGTATAGTTCGAAAGCACTTTTCAAGGACTTCAAAATGACATTAAAATATCAGGAAGAAAATATTGACTCCACAATGAAGTCCTAAGGATACTTTTCTTGAAACAAGATTTTGGATCTATTTTAACTGATGTTCAGTAGATTTCAAATAGAATATAATAAACAATAAAAACAAATTTTTCATGAAATTCATTTCTTGATGTAAATCTTAAGAGTGGCCAGAATGAATTTTTCAGAGAAAAAAGTAAATCTAGTCATTTTGCAACGCTAATTCACAACACTTTACTAGTTTTCACCCAAAACATAATTTTCATATCGAAATCTACCCAATGCCAGTAAAAATAGATTCAAAGTCTGGTTTTCGAGAATAATGTTCTTAGGACTTCATTGTGGGATCAGTGTTTTTTTTAATAAGATGTTGAATCACTTGAAAAATGTTATGAAACCTTATAAAAATAGCCTGATCGTTCATGAGATGAGTAGATAAAAAGTTTTAATTACTATTAACAATCGAATTTAATATACAAGTGGCGGTCATCGAGCATTTCAATCGATATGTACACAGCACAAATAAATGATATATGAATAATTTTACCAGGGATTACTATCGAACATGTTGTTTGACAGTTTGACATAGAAGAAATCAAATTTCTTAAGGGGATTAGTTTCAATAGTTATTGACTCTCTCTTTTCTAATTCTCTTCACCGATTTGCAACAATAAAAACGAAATATGTGGATTTTATCTAGATTCGTTTGTTGTCTTGTATCAAATGATATCAACTAACAAATGTTTTCATTTCAATCATTCATTGATTATAGATTCATATTTCAAAAACCTGCCGTTGACACTTTAGTGACAAGTTCTACAATGCGATATACTTATCAATGAAAATATATAATTTAATTCAAGGGCATTTATTTCTTTGTCCAATACACTTCAAACAGAATAGCAAATACTCGAGAATAGTATCAATAATATATCAATATTTGTCCGGCATATTCGATTGAGAGAGAGAGAAAGATGATGATGAAAAAGCATGCCGTGAGTAAGAAAGAGAACAAGCGCAATATATTTGAATTTCAGATCGGTATGTGGTTAGTTCTTCATTTGTAAATACAGAATAGAGAGAAACGAAACAAACACGAAACCAAATCTTTGTCTCGTCCTTCGCAATAGTAAAAAGAGGTAATTAACCAAGAAAAAAACACGTATAAAACCACAGTCGCCAAACGGTGAATGGTTTTTTTTGTAAAAAAGTGTCGTCTGATTCACGTACCGTTATTATGGACGAAAACAACAAAAACGAGAATATCATTGCGACATATCATCGTCGAGATGTACACTTTGATTCAACTCCTTCGTACACATCGTCATTATTCGTACATCTTCGACAACTTCAAACTGATTTTCAGTCACAATATCAACATGAAAAACATGCACTGAATGAACTTAATGAGCGTCTTCGTCATTTTGTTGATCGTGTACAACAATTAGAAACACAAAATGCAAAATATATTACACAAATTGTTAATTTTCGACGACCCGCCTCTGATTTTAGTGGTGCGGATCTTGAATGGAACGAACGTTATTTACATATACAGTCTGATCTCATGGCAGTAAGTCATGGAAGCATTGATTTCGGACTCGAAATTGAAATGTATCAATTACAATCTGCAATCTATCAACAATTGATTGATCTTGAAAAAGAATGGAAAGATGAAAGACGTTTAAAACTAGAACAAGAATATAATCAATCATCGTTGTCTTTAAATAGTTTACGTGCATCAAATACAGAATTAGGACGAGAAGTGGAAAGTCTCTATGTCGCACGTGATGATGCCTATCAAAAATATTTGAGATTGACACATGACTGGTCTCACATGAAGAAACAAAGTAAAGAATGGGCATTGAATATGCAACTATTAAAGAATCAAATTGCATTTTACAAGAATTTACGTTCACATTCGACACGGTCAGTAAATTTTGCTTATTTTTTGCTCTTTTAATTGAGAAACTTTTTTTTTTTGTTCTCTATATTGAAGAGGATACACATCGGTATCGGTAAATACGTTTGATGTCAAGCAATTCTGGGCGATGGAATTAGATAAAGTGATTAAAAGCATTCGCCGTGATTTCGAACAATTATATAGTACGTTTCATCATGATATGACAGTGCATTATAATACACAATTGGACGAATTAAAAACGGAAATTGAACAAACATCGCGCTATCAATCAACTGAAGTCGACACATATTCAGCAAATCTGCAGACATTACAGATCGACTACGAAAAAGTACAGAAAAGTTATTCTTATGAAAAAGAAATTATAATGAAATTGGAAGCCACGCACTGTAAGTAACCATAAAGTTCTTTTCTTGCTAAATATAGACTTTTTTCTAGCTAAATTTGAAATGGAATTTCGATCGATTCAACAACAAAATGATGAGCGATTGGACTTGCAAGCGAGAGATCTAGAAACCTTGCAAGGGAGTATCATGGCTATAGCCTATGATATTGAAGACATGCGACAAAGGTTAGAAATCTTTCTCTTGCTTAAGAATAAGCAATAAAAATCTTATCGAATACTTTTAGAAAATTTAATCTGGAAGGTGAAATTATTGTCTATCGACATCTATTGGATAGCTATGGTGTGCACGAGTATACAGTGCGTCCCTCATCTCCTCCACGAAAGCCAAGTACCTTGACAAGAAAATTCGTTGTGAAAAGTCAAAAGAGAGGAAATATTGGCATTCGTACGTATAAGAAACGGAGAAAAGTAGCAGCGAAACAAGAGAAATTATTGTTCATTTTAGGAGAATGTCCACCTGATGGAGCATATATTAGCTTGCTGAATCATTCGTCCGATAAAACTGTAGACATGTCAAGATGGGTGCTCAAACGACGTGTCGATGGAAGAACAGAATATCGATATTCATTTCCTGATGGAGTTCGACTTCAGCCAGCTGGTGAATTGAGAATTTATTCAACACAAGGTGCTGCTGCTGCTAAATCATTGAAAAAATTTCGTCCTGACAGTTCGGCACGTCAAGAATTGGTGAATAACGAAGTCATTTCGTGGGGTATGTAACTGTATGTCCTTATCTCGTGTATGAATCTATCTTTGATGTTGTCTAGGAATTGGAAATTTGACGGAAACATTTCTGTTCAATCAACATGGAGAAGAGAAAGCAATATTTTCACAGTCGATTGCAGCCCCAAGTGATAATATCTAATTATTAGTGACCATGACAGCCGGAGAAATGCATGACCATTAAGAACTATGATAACTTCATCTATCCACTGCTTCTTTATAGCCTCATAGAATATTATATCATTATTCTTTTATCTTGAATATATCTAATAAATATGAAAGAAAATGTGAAGCGCATTTATGTGATCCTGAGACAAATTTATGGAACATTTTATATCGATTTCAATCGACTTTTTTTTTACACCCAATTCATACATTATTTTCAATTTCTCGAACTGAATCCTATTTAGGTGATTTTTCACTGTTGAAAATAAAGAGTCGCATAAGCTTCGACAGGAACTGTAGAAACAATTGCTGAGTGCATCAAATACTTGGAAAAGACACGATTTTAGAACGAACTATTCGAGCTACTTCGACATTCCTTATGCCGGACAGCGGCATTAATGTATTCATTTGATTGAAAATATAGAACGTGATCTTCGAGAGTTCGCTTGATTCCACTGTTTGAACAACACGTTTTCATGACTTTTTAAAGGCAAAATATATGACGTTGAGAAGAAATGCCTAATAGATCACGCTTTTTATACAACATGATCTATAAGAGATTTGAAGTATAAAAGTAGAAACTCGAATTTCTCTCCCTTTCCCCACAGACCGCGACAGATACTGAAATACAATCACAAACTGTATGTCAATAACATCTCGTTATAAAAAAGACGATCTACTTTTTGATTGCATTTCTGAAGGATTAAATGAAAGAAAAATGTATAAATCTGCAGCGATTACACTAATGATTTATTATTTCAGCTCACAGTGTCAAAAATACAACATCACATTCTAATGAGTGGATAGAGTTCATGATTATGTGAGATGTTTTAAACAAGTGTTTTGCCCGATTTCGACCATGGATACCAAGTTGTTCATATGATTTGTCGCCAATACACATGTTTCCACGCGACAATACTATTTCTAATCTAAAGTCAAACATTCGATCTTTAAAAAAGAATAGTGAATGACTTTTTGGTCGATTCTTGATAGAAAACAACTTCTTTCTCATTTTCATTGGATTCCTCGATGGTTTTTTGACTCACTAATTCGATCTATGAAAAATTCATGAAGCTTATCTTAATCATGTTATAGAAGATTCTCTTACTTTGACAATAGCCATCAGCAGATTTTGTCATATTCTCTGGAATTTTCTCATGAGAACTATTCATAACCCAATTTCTTTAGTTACCATTCATCATTTCTTGCTCAAGGAACCAACAAATATCTGAATAATATTTTAAGCTTCTCATGACGAGTAACATCTGTCGTTTTAATTTTCAGTTTCGACACCCTCAATTTCGTATTTTTTTAATAACGAGAAGCGCTTTTAGTCATTTCGTTCGGTAAATGTTTTTCATGTATTGTCGAACTCACGTCAGTTCTAGTCTATTTTTATGAGCGACAGAAAGAAAATATTATTTATATCAAAATTAGAAAGTAACATGTACGAAAATGAAAAAAAAAACCTATCATCAGCTGTCTTTTACTTTTTTAAATTCAATCAAACCTTATAGAGATTTGGAAAGTTTCTTGGTTGAACACTTGTACACAAGATCATTGTTTGTCAATAGATTCCTGTCCGTGAAGAATAGAAAGGTCAACTTCTTGAGTTTTTATACTCATCACATGATTTTTTTTCCAGATCATATTGTTTAAGGTAGTATTGATCACGATTTCTTTGAAAAGAATATGTTATGGTCGAAGGAGGTTACTTTCTGACTCATTTGACTTTTTCTCTTTCAGTGAAAATATGATAAACATCAACATTCTGTCATAAGATAACTAATAATCTATTTAAGAACAAAGAACATTAGATATGGGTATAAATACTAATGTTTAATAAACTTTTCAAATTGATCATGAAGCTATAAACGAGAATAAATAGTAGTTTCTGTAAAAATTTTCTTTTTGTAGGAAATGACATAGAAACCAAGCTTCTATCACATAGGCACCAAATTCTACAGTACAATTAATTGATATCGTCCAATAGTGGCTTTCCTTAATCTAGAATATCTTATTATAGAGTAATCTTGTAATGTATTGAGACCTTGAATACGACTTTTATTGTAAATAGAATGAGTTATTAGTTTGAACGACTAGAAAGTTACTTTTAATTGTTCACTTAATCTTAACAAACAATGTTAGAAAAAATAGTGAAAAGTAAATGAAAAATTCGTAAGCACTTGTCGAACGGATACTTGAATTCGGAATAGCACTTAAATTAAGTTTATCAAAAGGCTTCGATATATTTAAATATTTCATTGAAGCAAATCTTCCTTGTTCATGAGCTCCAACAAAATCTATTGTCGTAGGAAACTCTTGAATGCAGCTAGGATCACTCCATTCTGAAGGAAATAAATTTGGAAATGCCCATGAAGAGATTAGTTTTAGTGGACATTGATAGCCAAGTAATGCTATAGGAATAATAACATGGCCAATCAATGGAAAAGCATAGAATGTTCGTGTTTTGGCTGTTATTGTTGCAAGATGAATGGCATAATCAAGATGTGCTGCCATATCAAGTTGACTTGATAACATCAATACAGTTGAATTGGTAGCCACTTTATGATGATATTCATCTAACGGATACTTAGGCCATTTAGATCGCAAAGATATCATAAATTTCGGATTCTCTGGAGCCATTAAAGTTGAAGAATGCCAAGCTAAAATAGTCTCTTCATCAACTTCATTTTCATCTTTACCTAGCCACAATTCCGATTGAATAATATTATAACCAAGCACGGCAGAACCGAAAAGTGATGGAACAGTTGGACGGCTTGTATTTGTACTTTCTTCCACTCCAATAGTAGTTTCGAAAAAAAATTTCAATACCATCACATCTTCTTGGTTACAACGATTCAAACGAAATATGACGGCCGGTATGACAGTACGATCATAATATGACGTGCTCGATGTCATCATGTTACGAAATAAACTTCGAAGCTTTTCATCAGTCAAATGATATTGTGACAAATAGTTCTTCGCACAACGTTGATTGTTTCCAGCTAATTCCTTAAGTATTCTCGATAGCATGATTTGAGGGGGTTCATCAGCTGGAAAATACCGGTTACATTCTGATTGAAATTGACAGTATGTTAAAAATTTTGTAGCAACTAATGATGTCCAAAGATCATAACGACTTGAAGAGAAGAGTTGTGGATTGACAACACTATCCATAATAGCTGACTGAACTAAATTTGGATAGATTTGAAGAAAACGATCGAGCCACATTGTTCCATAGCTAAAACTATATACCGACACACGACCAGAAACAATGGATTGATAAAATCGAATTTGAACCGATAAATCATGAGCTGCTGCAGTGATAGAAAATTGATTTAAACCTTCAATGCCCCATTTCGAGGTCAAATAAGAAATACAATCAACAGTTATATTTTGTGAACCATAATCGTCGCAACTAATGGAAGTCGATAGCCCAATACCACGATGATCAGGCAATATAATAGTTATACCATAACTAGGTGGAAAAAGAATGCCTGCATATTCAATATAAGTCCAACCAGATTCACCGGGACCACCTGTCAGAATGAAAAGAGTATTGTTCATCGTATTTTGTTGACTAAAGGACTTGAGACGTGTCATCGAAATAGTAATCTTTGTCTCATTTGGTTTCGCATAATTAAGAGGAACTTCTAGTTTACAACAATCAATTGAATAATTTTGAATCGTAGGAATAATATTGCTTACATTGCAATCAGACCATACACAGCCGTTCACTGGAATATAATTACTTACTCCAGATTTTACTGATTGAAAAGTAACAATAACAAGAAGCATAAGAAAACATAAAACGAAGGCAGGATGCATCATACAGCTAATAATAGTTGAGAAAGAAAATTATTCATTCTCACGGTCTATGTGTTTTTAAAGTGTTTTTTTTTCTTCATTTACCTTTTCATTATACTAGAGTAAATGTATAAGTATATAGAATAAGAAAAAGAAACTCACTAGGTCGAACCATCACAATATTTGCTATTTTTATAAGCACACAGATTTAGATGATTAATGTGCTTAGAAAGAGAACGAAAGTGATTACAAGATGTTGTATACATGAATTGACCTATATAATTGCCAAGTTTGGGTCATGTGTTTTATTCATAGATTTAGCTGCTAAATATCGTAACCAGATCTGATAATCTCAAACATTAGGGAATTCGATATGAAGCAAAAGAAATTATGAAAATGTTTTATCAAGAATTAGAAGAACAATCTTATAAAGTAATTAATCATTCAATGCAATATTACATGTTACAAATTGATTTACTTTATCTGACCTCTGCATTTTAGTTCATTTGTTATGTAGAATTTCTTAAGTGAGATTTTCTGTCGCTTTAATCATGATTTGTTCTGAGACCGTCAAGTTCATTGATTTCTACTTTGAAATATTAGAAGAATCATTACACGAAAAATAAAGCGAGTTCTAATCAAAAATTATTTACGTTGTCGAGGTACGAAAAAAAAATCGATTGTCTTGATTATATATAGAGTAATTAACTCTCAATATCAATAAATTCTTGAAGTTTAAGTTAAGCTTAGAGACTAGAAAATCACTAACAATGAGTTTCTCAACACTAAATGGTGACACTCTCTTTCTGACTTTTCCCTTAACTTTCACCCTCCTTTGTCATCAGCTTTCACTTGTCAAGATTTATTCTTTTCAATGTCAAATTAATACAAGATCATATTTCGAAATACATGACAAAACAAATAATAAACATAAACATTAAAATTTATTAAAAAAAAATGAATGAATATCTTAAATCTACACGTTTCTCTTGATTATTTTAGTAGAGTACTTTGACCTAGAACATAGAAGTTTAAATACAAAGGACAATATTTGCACCGTTTGACTGACGATCGGTTGACTAACACTGATAGGAAAACAAATAATTAATCAGCAACGTGGTAATATAGAAAGAAAGATAGATGAAAAAAAAAAGGTTCACTAGAATCTTTGATTGGATAGTCAGACTTACAAAAAACGATATAAAAAGCGAACACAATACTTTAGAATTAGAAACCGATATGTATTATGAACCAAAAAAACAAACAAATATCTATGAAATCAACAATTCTTTTTTTCCTAGATCATAAAACATCGATCATTTTTCTGACGTTATTCAAAAGTTTATTAACGAGATTAAGACTGATATTTGCATAAATTTGCATCTTAAAGCAATATAAAATGCCTTGAAAAAGATATAGTTGTTTGAATATCAAATAACATCAAAGTCAACAGGTAAAGAAAAAGAAAAAAAAATCCTCAAATACTATTGTAATAGTGTAATCGTATAATGGTTAGAATAACAATTAATTTTTCTCTAAAATAAATGAAATATGATTTGTTTGAGATGGTATATTCATTGATTATGAATGAGAAATTGAATACTTTTCTATAGGATTATGTAGAGTTTAATTACCAATGAATTTTATTATCTTTATTTGAATGTCACTGATAAGTGTTTGACAGAAGCTAAATATTACATAAAGTTTAGATTTAGTAATAAAAATGAGAGGAGAGTATAGGCGATTGTGAAAAAAGTCATTACATCATTTGGAATATAATTCAAATGTTTGATTGATAATTTACTCTTCATGTTGAATTGTCTTCTAAATCGTATGAAAAATATGACGATTATCTGCATTTGCCTAACTGTTGTGAATTTGTTTTTGTTTGTTTATTACTGTGACTTCTATGTTTGATTTCGAACATGAGCGTAAATAAATATGCTGAATCATATGAGACAAAACTCAGTTGACTCTTTCCCATGTCGTACATTTATTCGCACTACTGCTAGTATACCGGCATTAGAGGTGCTAAATCGTTATACAAATTAAAAAGAAGAATTAGTGGTAGTTTTTGAATAATGGCATCTGTCGTTATTAGGAATCGTACTCATAATAAGAGCAACAAACGTGGAATAAACTAAAAAAACTCATTCGACTTTATTACTCGAATTTCAAAAATTAATTTTGTTTCTAACATCTTATCGATATTCATTAGATACTCTTACACACTGATAAATTATTCAAATCAACTGCCAAATTTAGCCATTAGAGCAGAACAATTTACGGTCAAAATTTCAAGACACAGTTGAAACTAGTTGGAATAATACATCACTTTTCGATAAACCTCATCAGCAGTCATGCTGAGGTTACTCAAACATGATTTCATAAATCAAACAAACTAAAGTCGCTTGACATGAAATTCTTATTGATGATCGAACCAACATTGAACTCTCTAATGTCATAAATCGAGTTCTTATGAATTTGATTGAATCAGTTTGAATTGCTGTTTAGTTTTTTTATTGATTTATTGAGACCGCTGCTTTTCGATCGATCATTAATAAGAAAAATGTTTTCATCAACTATATTTCCAATAATGATAGACTTTTTGATGCTGTGTATTTCAATAAATTTCTACCAACACACGTAGGTTTATTTTGCTGTGATGAATTTTTAGTCCTTCGATGCATTAAATCAACGAAGGAAAAATATAATTACATTCGTTAATTGATTTTTTTTATCAAGGTAATGATTTTTTTGCAGAGACAAAGAATGTTTACTTTCTAACTTGTTATCAATTATTTACGATGAAATCAAAGATAGTAGCTTTAATTTATTTTTAATAGTACAATTTTTAAAAAGCATGTTTTGATATAATCACACCAACAAAATGAAATGCAATATGGTATTGCATTGTTAGTGTTAGGTCGTGTTCATTCTTTTCTCACTTCATTGTCATTGTTCGGCGGACAACACCGATTAGTCTACTGTTCTTTATTCTTTATACTTATGCTTGGCCATTATCATATGTACATTCTGAAAAAGCTCGATTATTGTCACCATACAAAGAAAAACATATAAAAGTATATTGACATCGAATAATATCATTCGCTGAAATATACATTCAAAGTTCTCTATTGAGTATATTTATAATATTGGTTTTTCAAATCGATACTTTGTATTCAATAATCATAGCTTATATAGTTATCTTTTCATTTAGCATTTACTTCTCTATAGGAAAGTCATAAAATTTTATTTTTGAAAAAAAATGTGTCATTAAATTTTCTATAAGGGTGTGGGTATCGATGTGAATCTGAGTGTGAATGTCGGTATAAGTAAATAGAATATCTTACCCACACCCACACACCGTGTATTTCCAATTATTTTTACTATTTTATGCTATCTATTTGTAAGATTAAATGATTTATAGATATTTGGACTTATAAAATTTCAAATGAATCAAATAGTAATGAACTTGAATGGACATTTATATTTAAAGATGACGTTAATTCTGGTGATGCATCAAAAATTTCATTATCAAATTATACAACAGTCTTACAAGAATTAATGTTTAATCAAGAAATTCAATCTAAACATGAATTTTTATATTTAGGAATATGTGGACCAACATTTGATAATGATCATCGAACATTATCAAATAAAAATATACAAATAATAGTCTTTTGAATATTTTGTCTTCATGCAACAGGTATAACAAAATGTCAATCGAGATTATTTTGGACAGAAATATTAACATATAGACCTAATCCTTCGAAGTTATTGTATTAGAAATAACAATCATTTTTACGTGATGGGATCTAACTTTCGTTTTCCTCCTGGTACAGGATATTATGGAATTACATATCAAGATCGAAGAAGATTTCTGATGACTATAGCAAAATAAAATTATTGAATGTTTAGTTAATTTTGTTTGTTTATGAAAAAGCGTTGTCTAAAACATTTGTTTCAATATAATAAGTCCGAGAAAGAGAAAAAAAACAAGTTCTATGGCTCTTGCAGTGGTATTAAGTCTTCTAAAGCTTTGCAATCATAATATAGTTAATATTTTGAAGCTTCGTGAAGTCTCTTTTTATTTAAGGTACACATAAACAAAGTAATCTCCAGTAGTGTCAAACTTGAAAGTTGATTCAATTCAAATTTCAATCGTTTATATGTAAATCCTCAACTCCTCCCTCATATCCGTAACAATTACAAATATTTAATTAACATTGTACGCTCTCACTCAAGCTTGAAGAAGCTCAGTTCGATCTCAAACTAAGCCAGAAATAGGTAAATAGTTGTTCGAGGCATTCTCATAGAGAGAAATGTGTTAACTTGAATGTTGAGTTTTTAAGAAATAGATGCAAGAGGAGAAAAGCAAGACTTCAAGAATGCGTACTTCACTCGTACTTCAAAAAACCAAAGTATCGCTTTTTCCTCCTTGGCATCAACCCATCTACTCTGTTATTCTGATATTTTAAATCTTGCGGTTTGGATTTTCTTGATCATTAAATTTTGAACTTTTAGAGTTCAATCTTTCGGATTTTCAAGGAAGTTGCGAATTTTGAATGAATGCGAAATTTCGAAATCTGAAAAATTTGACATATTCTCTGATGAGCATTTTGTCACTCTTGTCAAGGCAGTACTCTGCTAAGTATTACCGTCATATTTTACACATATTACATATTATCTTTCAGTCTATAAACAACTGAGTCAGTCAGCAATAAACGTTACTCGTTAAAGACCGAGTTCAGAATTCGAATACTCCTAACAAGTTTACGAGCTCCACACATACGGATTGTTTGAGATGATTCGTTCCGATTATAGAATGATCATAGTATGAGCGTCGCACGATGATTTCTTAGGCTGCTTACTTCAACACTCTCTGCTGACAACTCATAATAGATATGTCGACATGCTATTATGAACTTTCGAAGCATGATATTTTGATATGTTTTCAATCTTCGAGCTTCAGATTTTCGAACCATTGAATTGTCCACTTTTCCGCATCGGATTGATAGATTTTTAAGAGAATTTTGGACTTCCAATTAATTTGAAATTTCACAAATCAGAAAAAAGCTATTTTTCTTTCTTGTGATGCGATATATTAGGCCCTATCGTAAATTGTTAAGAGCACTTGGAGATAATGCTCTGTTTACCTTGTAACAGATCTCAATAAAGATAACATGCCTCTTTATGTCACAGTGAAGAAGCTCTATTGCGTCGAGCATTTCAATCTCGTAGGAATTGCGATGGAAACTTTTCAGCTATGATTAGATGAGTGATAGGGTCTTAGAGAAGGTGAATTTTTCTTTTATGAGCGGCAGTGAATGAATTGCCCATGTTAACGAAGTATTAGCGACATGCTCAGCTGGTTCTAGTGTATGTTGAGGCATTTCTCTACATGTTTTATAAATGTTAAGAGCTTTCACGATGCTTTCTAAATAGCCGATAGAAGACTGATAATGCGCCGACTTGTTCTGCAATTAAGACATGAATTTGTTATATTATGAAAATGAACATTTTAATGATTGATTCTGTCTTATAATTCGTGTCTTCGTTGTTCTATGTGAAATATTCAAGAAGGAATGTCTTTCTGCCAATCCCATACTATGATATGCCACATTTCATCCGTCATTTGATCATAAAACATGTGTATTGATTTAAAACCGGCACTAGTATGAGCACGAAGCGAGCGCGGGTTCTTACTGGAAATGCTTGTGATGAGTAGCCGATATTGATCGCTGTATATTTCACGGTGTTTCTGTAACATTTTTGCCAAGATCTTCTGTCCTCGAAAACCAATTGCTACACATGACTGACCCATGACGTAGTAAGCATAATCTCGAAGAGGTTTGTCCTCGTATTTCAATGTATTGATCATTGAGAATAAGTCATGGAGTTCCGGTACTTCATCTGCAAACTCGGGTAGCATCGAGAGCGTATATCCAATTACTTTGGACGTGGCATCTTTAGCTATGATACTCGGCATCATTGTATTCATTCTCTGGAGAACATCATATCGATGGTGAACAGTGACAAAACCTTCAGAGACTTGCATCTCGATTGTAACGTTTTGTTTGAGATTTGCTTGTTGAAGGGCAAGAATCCCTTTTATATCGCTTTCACATTGAGCAGTTGTAATTGATACCATTGAATCAAACAAATTGAGCAATACAAAAGTATTTAATTGAATTAATGTCTGGCAAAGCTATTAAAAGAAAATGGGTAGAAACGAATAATCGTTTCGAATGACACTTGAGAAAAAAGAAAATAACGATTAAGGTGCGACGTAATAACGCACGACTTATTATCTTAGTGTGCTGTTCTTATCAGTCATCGAGTTTACTTCATTTGATTTACGTAGTCATCACAGCTGCACAACATGTAATTCGGTCAAAAAATGAGGTGCAGATATAAAACGTCATCAAAGTTTATTTCATTATCTGAGAACGTGCTATTTATGCAGAAAAAAGCTGATATGAAACGATTTATACATCGTGAAATATATTAACAGAAAATCTGCGAGTTCATAAGAAAAACTTTACTCAATCCATCTTGGCTATATTTATTAGACCAATACATGATTCATATGAGTAATTGTAAGCACTAATAGTGGAGAGTATGATGTGCGGATGAGAATGAAGAGAAGAATCTAATCATTATTCTTACACCTACACCTTTCTTCATGTTATTACATTAAAACTATAAAACAGCTGCTTTGTGTCTTTTGAAAAATCAATGTAAAAAGTTAAAATAAATTAACAAAACTGAATAGAAAAATGTAAGCTTATTAAAATGACTAGACTAAAAACATTTTCTAGAGGTTCCAGATTCATAAACCTAATTAACAGATTTCTGTATTCCAAAACAAATATAAATCTACAATTCTACTATATATAAATGTTGCTGAATATAAACAATAATATTGATGTGAATCAAAAGGAATAAGATAAGATCATTTTTACTAGTTAAACATGCGTCGTGTTCCAATAGATTCTAGAAGAAAAAAAAAATTCTCTGTTATTTCTAAGCTATTATCTATTATTTAAAACGTGTAGTCTATTAAGAGACACTATACTTCAAAAAGTACAGTCGTCATTATCAGCACATTCACATTCTCAAAATAGTATTTCGCATGATTTGAGCAATACTAATTGTTTTAGTCTTTGTTAACTATCGTAGACTTTGGCATCAGTCAACTATCACTTATTTACTCTCGGATACAATCATGACGGCGATACATCTATTAACTTATCGTATCATTATTCTCAGTTATAGTTTTATTCTAAGTATTTTCGCTAGAAGCGATGTCTCATGGTCGTTTATTCAAGCTATTATTTTTATGCTGCAATAGTTCCAATTATTTCATTTTGTTGATGATATACCGTTAATTCATATGCCAGTACATGTTGTGAAATTTCTTCTCAGAATCGTTGAAGTTGAACGCGTGCTGTTCGATAAACTATTGCTGTTAATTTCATCTTCTGAATTAATGTTAATCTATCAATTTTTGTTTTGTACTAAAATTGCAAATAATGTTCATCGTATTTCAAATAGCTCAAAATTCTTTACGATATCTACCTCGATTTCCTCACTCTACATTTTTGTTATTTTGATTTTTGATTTTTTGTGGCCATTGTATAGATTCAAGTAGTATCTATCTACTGGGTACATTTTGGGACTCAAAACTTGTCTTTAAACGTTACAAAATTTGAGAAGAAATCAAATTTACACAACGAAAATAACGAAAACTGTACATTGTTTCGCGTTTTCTCAAAACGATTCTTTCATGAAAAAAAAAGTGAAGAAACGTCCTCATTTCTCTGGCATGGTATGTTCGATCGAGTTGAAACTTTTTCATATATATTAGACACTGCTTAGAATGGGTATTCCTTTTAGTTTCAAAAAATATCGTTCTGATGACTTTTGGTAGCTTTTACCAGAAAAAAAACTCTATTCAAAAAAACATGCATTTTTTAGAGTACCTTCAATATTTTTTTTTTTTTTTTTTTTTTATTCGAAGAACAAAAATAAAAAGAACCTAAAGCAAATGTCCACCTCAAACAGTGTCTAGTATCTGTAAAAATATTCTCAGTTCGATCGAACATAGCATCTTTGAAAAACGAAGGCGAAAATTCAGGTCATTTTTCGCCATTGTGATTCCAGTATCTCATGGAAGACAGCATCCAGAAATTTTGAGTCTATGACAAGTTTTTTTGTACTCATCAAAATCTACATGCCCTGAAAATTTCAAAATTTTCTAATGAATCTTTCTTCTGAAAACCCAGATGGGGGTGGATTACCCTTAAACAAACTGTAGGCAACATACTAGAAAAACATATAATATACGATTCGATGCATCCTTATCTTCTCCTTCAAACGATGAAAACTGCAACTATCCATCTTGTTTCTATCAAAAGTTATTCACGAGATATCCACTCGCGTTTGATTTAAATAGGCATTGGTATAACTATTGCATATCATAGAAAAACAGGTCTTATCGAAATTTTATTCTTATGATATTAGTTGAAGGATGATACAATGCCACAAAAAAAATAGATCATTGCTTGTACTATCGTTACATATCAAAAGAAAATTTCCTAAAGCTTACTATGCGGTATTAAAGTATCACTGTCACTAATTTTGGGCTACGCTAAGTAAACATATTGAAACGAATATCTTTT